AGCCCCTGCAGTTTCCTTCTCCATCCTATGCATCCTAAATCTTGCCTCATCGCCTCATAATTGCCTTTCCCCCAGCTATAACTCTTGCCCTGCGGTATATACCGATCCCTTTCCATCGCTCAGAAGGGAAGGGGGGAGAGGAGGAGAGCATTAGTCATTGGGGACTCCATAGTTAGGGGGACAGATAGGAGATTCTGTGGGAACGAGAGAGACTCGCGGTTGGCGTGTTGCCTCCCAGGTGCCAGGGTCCGTGATGTCTCGGATCGTGTTTTCGGGATCCTTAAGAGGGAGGGGGAGCAGCCCCAAGTCGTGGTCCACATAGGCACCAACGACATAGGTAGGAAAAGGGATGGGAATGTAAGGCAGAAATTCAAGGAGCTAGGGTGGAAGCTTAGAGCTAGAACAAACAGAGTTGTTATCTCTGGTTTGTTACCCGTGCCATGTGCTAGCGAGGCGAGTAATAGGGAGAGAGAGCAGTTGAACACGTGGCTACAGGGATGGTGCAGGAGGGAGGGATTCAGATACCTGGATAATTGGGGCTCATTCTGGGGTAGGTGGAACCTCTACAAACGGGATGGTCTACACCTGAACCAGAGGGGTACCAATATCCTGGGGGGGAAATTTGCTAATGCTCTTCGGGAGGGTTTAAACTAATTCAGCAGGGGGATGGGAACCTGAATTGTAGCTCCAGTGTACAGGAGGTTGAGAGTAGTGAGGTCATGAATAAGGTTTCAAGGTCGCAGGAGTGTACCGGCAGGCAGGAAGGTGGTTTGAAGTGTGTCTACTTCAATGCCAGGAGCATCCGGAATAAGGTGGGTGAACTTGCAGCATGGGTTGGTACCTGGGACTTCGATGTTGTGGCCATTTTGGAGACATGGATAGAGCAGGGACAGGAATGGTTGTTGCAGGTTTCGGGGTTTAGATGTTTCAGTAAGATCAGGGAAGGTGGTAAAAGAGGGGGAGGTGTGGCATTGTTAGTCAAGGACAGTCTTACGGTGGCAGAAAGGACGTTTGATGAGTACTCGTCTGCTGAGGTAGTATGGGCTGAGGTTAGAACCAGGAAAGGAGAGGTCACCCTGTTGGGAGTTTTCTATAGGCCTCTGAAAATTTCCAGAGATGTAGAGGAAAAGATTGCAAAGATGATTCTGGATAGGAGCGAAAGTAACAGGGTAGTTGTTATGGGGGACTTTAACTTTCCAAATATTGACTGGAAATGCGATAGTTCGAGTACTTTAGATGGGTCAGTTTTTGTCCAATGTGTGCAGGAGGGTTTCCTGACGCAGTATGTAGATAGGCCAACAAGAGGCGAGGCCACTTGAATTTGGTATTGGGTAATGAACCAGGCCAGGTGTTAGATTTGGAGATAGGTGAGCACTTTGGTGATAGTGACCACAATTTGGTTACATTTACTTTAGCGATGGAAAGGGATAGGTATATACCGCAGGGCAAGAGTTATAGCTGGGGGAAGGCAATTATGAGGCGATCAGGCAAGATTTAGGATGCATAGGATGGAGAAGGAAACTGCAGGGGCTGGGCACAATTGAAATGTGGAGCTTGTTCAAGGAACAGCTACTGCGTGTCCTTGAGAAGTATGTACCTGTCAGGCAGGGAGGAAGTGGTCGAGCGAGGGAACCATGGTTTACTAAAGAAGTTGAATCTCTTGTCAAGAGGAAGAAGGAGGCTTATGTAGAGATGAGGCGTGAAGGCTCAGTTAGGGCGCTTGAGAGTTACAAGTTAGCCAGGAAGGACCTAAAGAGAGAGCTAAGCAGAGCCAGAAGGAGACATGAGAAGTCTTTAGCAGGTAGGATCAAGGAAAACCCTAAAGCTTTCTATAGGTATGTCAGGACTAAAAGAATGACTACAGTAAGATTAGGGCCAGTCAAGGACAGTAGTGGGAAGTTGTGCTTGGAGTCCGAAGAGATAGGAGAGGCGCTAAATGAATATTTTTCGTCAGTATTCACACAGGAAAAAGACAATGTTGTCGAGGAGAATACTGAGATACAGGCTATCAGACTAGACGGGATTGAGGTTCATAAGGAGGAGGTGTTAGCAACTCTGGAAAGTGTGAAAATAGACAAGTCCCCTGGGCCAGATGGGATTTATCCTAGGATCCTCTGTGAAGCCAGAGAGGAGATTGCAGACCTTTTGGCTTTGATCTTTATGTCGTCATTATCTACAGGAATAGTGCCAGAAGACTGGAGGATAGCAAATGTTGTCCCCTTGTTCAAGAAGGGGAGTAGAGACAACCCTGGTAATTATGGACCAATGAGAATTACTTCGGTTGTGGGTAAAGTGTTGGAAAGGATTATAAGAGATAGGATTTATAATCATCTAGAAAGGAATAACTTGATTAGGGATAGTCAACACGGTTTTGTGAAGGGTAGGTCGTGCCTCACAAACCTTATTGAGTTCTTCGAGAAGGTGACCAAACAGGTGGATGAGGGTAAAGCGGCTGATGTGGTGTATATGGATTTCAGTAAAGCGTTTGATAAGGTTCCCCACGGTAGGCTACTGCAGAAAATACGGAGGCATGGGATTGAGGGTGATTTAGTGGTTTGGATCAGAAATTGGCTAGCTGTAAGAAGATAGAGGGTGGTAGTTGATGGGAAATGTTATGTTCTATGTTCTCTCTATGGAGTTCAGTTACTAGTGGTGTACCGCAAGGATCTGTTTTGGCGCCACTGCTGTTTGTCATTTTTACAAATGACCTGGATGAGGGCGTAGAAGGACGGGTTAGTAAATTTGCGGATGACACTAAAGTTGGTGGAGTTGTGGTTAGTGCGGAAGGATGTTGCAGGTTACAGAGGGACATAGATAAGCTGCAGAGCTGGGCTGAGAGGTGGCAAATGGAGTTTAATGTGGAAAAGTGTGAGGTGATTCACTTTGGAAGGAGTAACAGGAATACAGAGTACTGGGCTAATGGTAAGATTCTTGGTAGTGTGGATGAGCAGAGAGATCTCGGTGTCCATGTGCATCGATCACTGAAAGTTGCCACCCAGGTTGATAGGGTTGTTAAGAAGGCGTACGGTGTTTTAGGTTTTATTGGTAGAGGGATTGAGTTTCGGAGCCATGAGGTCATGTTGCAGCTGTACAAAACTCTGGTGCGGCCGCACTTGGAGTATTGCGTACAGTTCTGGTCACCACATTATAGGAAGGATGTGGAAGCATTGGAAAGGGTGCAGAGGAGATTTACCAGGATGTTGCCTGGTATGGAGGGAAGGTCTTATGAGGAATGGCTGAGGGTCTTGAGGCTGTTTTCGTTAGAGAGAAGGTTAAGAGGTGACTTAATAGAGACATACAAGATGATCAAAGGATTAGATAGGGTGGACAGCAAGAGCCTTTTTCCTCGGATGGTGATGGCTATCACGAGGGGACATAGCTTTAAATTGAGGGGTGATAGATATAGGACAGATGTCAGAGGTAGGTTCTTTACTCAGAGTAGTAAGGGCATGAAATGCCCTGCCTACAACAGTAGTAGACTCGCCAACTTTAAGGGCATTTAAATGGTCATTGGATAAACATATGGATGATAATGGAATAGCGTAGGTTAGATGGGCTTCAGATTGGTTTCACAGGTCAGCGCAACATTGAGGGCCGAAGGGCCTGTACTGCACTGTAATGTTCTATGTTCTATGTTCACAGAATGCACACAGTATTCTTAACAAGGGAGACAATCTATAGGCATTAATAAAGATACATAGGTATGATCTAATCACCATTACAGAAGCATGGCTGCATGGTGACCAGAATATTGAAGGGCATTCGATATTTAGAAAGGACAGAAAAGAAGGAAAGCTAGGTTGGAATTGCACTGATAAAGGGCGAATTAGTGATTTTTATTGACGTAATATCTTGTAGAAGAACCTTTAGGGATGAGTGACCAAAATATGGTAGAATTTCACATTATATTTAAAGGGAGGTAGTTCAATCTGAAGCATGACTGTTAAATGTGAATAAGGGAGATTATGAAGACATGAGCAAAAATTGGCTGAATGGATTGAGAAAATACATGAAAAGGCACGAGTGTATATGGGTAATGGATTTTTTTTTAAAAAGAGAACTGTTGTATAATTTACAGCAACTATACATTCCTTTGAGGTGCAACATCTCAAACAAGGTCAGTCAACTGTGGCTCACAACAGGACGTGAGAGAGAAAACAGAGAACTACAGAACTACTAGCCTAGTATCTGGAATAGGGAAAATGCTAGAATTGATTATAAAGGATCAGATAATCAGACAATTGGATGATTGGGCAGAATCAGCTTGGATTGGAGAATGGGAAAATCATATTTGACAGTCTTGTAAGAGTTATTGGAATATTTTAGCAACAAAATTGATAAAGCAGAATTGAGTGGTTTAGTATACTTTGATTCTCAGAAGGTTTTTGATGAAGTTCCCCCACAGGAGGATGGGGTGGTACACATTAAAACACATGGGATAGGACATAATGTATTGGCACGGTCTAAGTACTGGCTAACAGGCAGAAAACACACAGCAGCAACAGACGGAGCTCCTCAATACCAAACCCAGTCAAATGCAGCCTCAATATCATGGGCAATCACTCTCACCTCACCTCTGGAATTCAGCTCTTCTGCCACGTTTGGACCAAGGCTGTAATAAGACCAGCAGCTCAGTGGCCCACTCAGATTTGTACAAACTGGGCCTGTATTCTCCAGGGTTTCAAAGAATGAGAGTTGATCTCAGTGAAGCTTACCAAACATTGAAACAAATAGACAAGACAGATGCAGATAAGGTGTTTCCCTTGGCTGGGAGTCTTGGACCAGAGGGCACAGTTTAAAAATATAGGAGATGAAATTTAGGACTGAGATGAAGAGAATTTTGTTTTACTCAGTTGTAACCTTCGGAATTGTCTACCACAGAGGGCTGTGGAAACTCAGTCTGAGTATGTTTAGGGTAGAGTTTGACAGATTTCTGATTTACCACAGTGTACAGAGTTATGGTGAAGGGGCAGGTAAAAGACATTGAAGAGTTCGATCAGCCATGATCGTATGGCAGGACAGGCTCGGACTGAATGGCCTACTCCTGTTTCTTTGTTCCTGTCAGAAGTGGGAAAAAGTGGAAATGCAATGGGTTTTGAGCCACAGCCAGTGGGACAGGGACAAAAGGAAAGTATGTAACGAAGGGGTAGTCAAGAGAAATTAAATGCCCAAACTTTAGTGCAGGGCCAAAGAAGTGGAAATGGGACACCTAAGAAAACAGATGACCAATCTAGAGACGGTGCGAATGCAGAATGACCAACAGCCACTTTTTGATGGATGTGATTTGAAATTGTTCAACTGACTGTTGAGATCTCGAGGCTGTTCCTCAAGTTTCCACTAAACCTCACTGGAAGATATAGGAGACTGAGGTCAGTGTGAAACAAAGGTGGAATACTAAAACGACAGGCAATTAGAAAAACTTGGATTGAAGGTGTTAAATAAATCAATTACCCAATCTCTGTTCAGTTTTCATTTTGGATAGTAAATCTCATCGTGAGCAGTGAATAAAAAGCAACATTGAGAAAAGTACTGAGACTGGGACAGAAGGGACAGGTGATGCTTCCCCTGTGCTTGTACGGAAATGTGTCATAGGATCAGGGAAGTTGGAGATAATTGAAGAAGAGACAAGAGTGTTGTACAGGAAATGGTTCCGTTGGAAGAGACAACGTGTTTGGTGGTGGCATTATGTTGGAGCTGGCAGAATGGCTGAGAATGATCCACTGAATTCGGAGGCTGGTATTACATGCTAGAGATAACTATTCAAACAGAGTTCAAAACCACACTTTTAGTTCAGTTAACTAAACTCCATAAAACACAGCCCAATGAGCTTGAGCTCCTCATTTTTTATACACCCAATTAACCCTCAATTAACAAATCCATCACTGCTCCCACGTTCCATTAGGTCTCCGGCATTCCTTCAGACCGTATTAATGATAACAGGTGCTGGGATGGAAGGTGAGGACAAGGGCAACAATTTTGTGGTTCTTGGAGAGGGTGGGGGTAGGGTTAGGGGTGGGGATAGTAAGAAAACATTCAACTTACATTTGCCACCATCGGCCACGTGAACCAGCAGGTCCTCCTCCCCGGGTGGTGAATCGGTGTAGGAGGACTGCAGTCGCTGGTACTCCGTGGTGAATGCTGCCATCTCAGGCTGCCATTCCTCAACTTGTGCCAGACATTCTCATCATTCGATGACACAGGAAGATCCCTTGGACAGACAGCAAGGCTCGAAACTGCAAAGAGGACAAAGCGTCGTAAAAATGCAACATTAAAACCAACACAGACATGGTTTCTACAGCTTCCTATCGAGTCTCGTTTCATTTCCAGACCTCTCCAGCTGCTCCCACAAGCTAGTGTACAATGGGAACGTGCAATAGGCACGATTAATTAATGACTACATGATGAAGTAGCCGAACATGATTGAATATTGTATTTTCTTTAGGGAGAATGGTGGTCTAAGACAAATAGATCTAATTCAATGCAATCAGTAAACTTCACCCAGTCAGAAAGGAGACCCCATCCAGAGTGACAGACAGCCTGAGTGAGTATTGTTATGAAGTTGTGTAGAATACTCATGAATTGAAAGGCAGGAAGCTAGAATGTGTTTGGAAAAACAATAAGGGAGAAAAAAAATGTGTGGTTCCTTCAAGAGATAAATGCTTTTCTAAGTTTAGAGTTTTGCACAGAGAATGTGTCTGTAAAATAGCTGAAAAAACGTACAGACAGTTCTAAAATTGAAATCTGTATCGATTGGCTGAGTGAGTGGAAACCTCAGGCTAGGCAAAGACAGACACGAGAATTCCTAGAAGCATGGCACTCCACGAAGCATGCTATTAATAAACACATTGAACTTGACCCCATATACATTTCACTACAAAGGAAAACCGGAAGTGAGGCGATCCATCTCAACAGACCCCAGAGTTTAAAAACTAGGCGGGAAAACACACCTACGCTTCATTGGAGGCTGCACTGAGGATGTTACCCAGCACGGTAACGAAACGTCTGCGAAAGAAACCAGCTCGGCAAGCCAACCAATCTCAAAAATCCAAATAACTTTCCAGAAATAGTTATAAATCAAGATGTGAGACAGAAGGCGGCCCTTCAAACAATTACAGTCACCAGGGAAAGTCTACTGAGAAAATTATTATAACAAAAAAGTTGACAAGTTCCACAGTCCTAATAGACTTCATCCCAGAGTCTTAAAAGAACCAGTTGTCAAAATTCCCTAAATTATGGAATGGTCCCATCAGATGGAAAATAGCAAATATAATTCCTCAATTGAAGAAAGTAGTGAGCCAGGAAGAAGGAAATTTCAGACTAGTTAGTTTAATATGTCAGTGAGAAATTACCAGGATTGATTATTCAGGAGGTTACTAAATAGCACTTAGAAAATCTCAGTAAAATCAGGCAGAGGCAACATGGTTTTGTAAAAGGGAAATAGCATTTGATTAATATTTTGGAGTTCTTTTAGGAAGTAATAGCCAACATGGATAACAGGGAATCTGTACATGTTGTGTATAAAGAATACCAAGATTAAAAAGATTAAAGATTAAAAAGTACAACAAAGTTTACTGAGCAAAATTACTGCTTATGATGGGGGTCGTGGGGAGGGGGTATCCATAAGTAGAGGATTGGTTAGCTAACAGATGCAATGGTAACAGCACTGGACAAGTAATCCAGAATGCCAGGCTTATGTTCAGGGAACACAAGTTCAAAATCCATCACAGCAGATAGCGAAACTTCAATTCAATAAACAACAACAACAACAACAACAAAAAAAACAAAAGTTGCTGGAAAAGCTCAGCAGCTCTGGAAGCATCTGTGAAGGAGAAAACAGAGTTAATGTTTCGGGTCCGGTGACCCTTTCCTCGGAACCAGTTCTGAAGAAGGGTCACTGGACCCGAAACGTTAACTCTGTTTTCTCCTTCACAGATGCTGCCAGACCTGCTGAGCTTTTCCAGCAACTTTGTTTTTGTTCCTGATTTACAGCATCTGCAGTTC